AAGGTGTTAGGGAACAAGCCTGATATTTGTTTTATGGACTGCTTATTGCTACACAATGGACTGTGCACATACACATGGGCTCAGAGAACTGTACACTTTAGGTCACCTGTTGTGATGACACACATAGAGGGTGCCTGCACATACCTTACATGTAAATAAGGTTTCAGCTACACAGTTACCTAGCCTGGTGAAGAAGCACAAATCTCCATTATTGTTAACAATGAAACAACAACTTTGGGAAGAAACAGCCACCATGGCAAAGCTGCTTGCTGGTCAGGTATCATCCATCGCCATGTAACTGCTTTGTTCCTGAGCTGGAATTTCCTGCCAGATGGACATTTGGTTATCAAAGGAACTGGCCAACTTCATCAGCTCTACAAGGAAGAATCCTGATACCTGGATTTTACACCTGCTCAGATGTCAATCCTTCGATTAAGGTTTTAGGTTACAATATTGGCCATCCCTCCTAGGTAACCTCCCTCCCTACCTGCAACCAGTGGGTCAAGAGGTTGGCACAGTTACCACCCACCTCTTGGACGCCCTATAAAAGGAGAGAACCAGTCACCCGGCTCCCCCTAGCTAGCATTCCCCAAGACAACCCCTGTCTGCTTTTACTCCCCTTGAGTTCCCCTTGCTATCCCCAACCCTTGCCTCTACTATTGATCTCCTGATCTGCAGTCAAGAGACCCACGCGTTCCTCAAGATTGATTATGCCTCTGGAAGCATTTACTTTGCCTAGGCGTATGCAGAAGAAGATTCATTAAGATATCAGGATATATTGGATAAAAAAGATAACCTTAAGCTACCGGAACATCTAACCTGGTGGCAGAAGGCACAACTGAAGTCGATATACCTTAAAGATTAAAAAAATGGGTTTTAATAATAAAATAACAGAATTAGAAAATGTTTTGTTGCATACGGGAGAAAAATGATAAAGAAAATGTATAAGATCTTATTGCAGGATGTTATGATAGATGAGATTATTAAAAAAAATATGATTGCATGGATCCAGAATTTAGGTTATATTGTGAATTTAGAAGATTGGGAGCAAATATGGTTGAGAAATGTTAACATGACTATTGCTGTTGCTTATAAAGAAAATATGTATAAGATGTTCTATAGATGGTATGTTACTCCAGATAGATTAGCAAAGCAAAATGGTAACTGCTCAGATAAATGTTGGAAGTGTAAAAATAAGACAGGCACATTTTATCATATGTGTTGGTTATGTGACGTTTCAAAAAAATTCTGGAAATGGGTGCCCTGTATAATGGAAAAAATAAGACGTAACATTCCCTTTACCCCAGAGTTACTATTGTTAAATATTTTTCCAAAAGAATTCGAGGAAACTGATAGATACCTGATTGTATACATGTCAACGGCGGCAAGAATATTATATGCCAAATACTGGAAGACTCAAGAAACACCGACCAAACAGGAATATATTAATAAACTGTTAGAAGCGGCGGAAATAGATAAATTAACTATGGAAATGAGAGGCACAAAGAAATGGACATTTCAAAAAACCTGGAAGAGACTATATGATTGATATAATGTGAATGGAGTTAAAGATTAAGCTGATATAGCAAAATAATATTTGAGTATGTAGTAATATATAATAATGGAATTAGAGAATACTAACTAATATTAGAGAATAATGAAGCGATGGATTAGGGGTAGTAACAAACTGTAACAAGTCTCTTGGTTTATATGTTGTTTGTTGTAGTTGTTTATGTCTGTGTTTATGTCTGGAATATAAGAAAATCAATAAATGTGTACCCTTGGGTACTTTAAAAAAAGAGAGAGAGAGAGAGAGACCCACGCGTTCCAGCTGGTTCTGGTCGTGTGGATTCCCTTTGTTTTCCATTTCTTCCCATCCATTCTTCATTGGAACAACCAAGCTTCAAGACAGATAAGTATCGCCCATCATCACCCCTACCTGCTAATGCAACTGTGCTTATTTCTTTCCTTTAATTCTTAGGAACTTGGTTGAATGTGTGAGTGCATCAGTATTGTTTGTATGAGATATATTTCTAGTAAAAGACATCAATTTTAACTACAACAGCCTCAGAATCCTTTGCTGGTAACCCTTGGTGGGATCAGGACCTTGGTATACATTGGCAAGAACCCATTTATAAATTGCCAATTGCTGTAAATAAAGCAATTCGGCTATCAAAGGTTTACATTTATTAATGAATGAATTAAATCTGGGTTTTTTTTCTGGTACCAGTAATTCTCAATTCATTGCCCAAACAAATTGCATTTTTGGTTATTTCTGTCAAACCTGTGTTTGTGTTCTGTGTAACCATCTGTGAATAACTTTTAATTGCATTTATTTCCATCCTTACTTCAGAGTACATTAAAACTATCCTATAAAGATTAGCAAACTGATTTCCTAGGGTGTCCCCCCCCCCCAATTTTGATAAGGTATTGTAGTAGTGGTACCAGTTACTTTGTTTCCTTTTGGGTGTTTTTCTTGCAAAGTTTAAACCTTTCATAAATTAACTGTTTCTGTAAAGTATCTAGCTGAGTAGATTCATATAGAAGTCAGAGAGAATTGAGCAGTGTGAGGAGATATAAGTGAGTGGAAATTTTATGTCTTGGACTATCGAGACTAGGTTTAAGACCACACCAACTTTCCTGTGGTAGTTAAAATCCGTATTGATGCAGGATACAAAGCCTTTTTTTTCTTAGCAGGGTAATTTCTTGTGCAGCTTTCCTTGCAAACGCACAGGAAGTCTTCAGAGGAAAGGTGTGACCCACTGAGAGATTCCTTCCAGCATGCACTTTTCCAAAAGAACAAAGCAGTGAGGGAAGGTAGAGTAATTGAAGGATGTGTAACAAATTGGATGGAAGAACGGGGCATATGGATGGCTATGTGAGGGGAGGGTGATGGCTAGCACCTGGGCTAAAAGTGAATGGTGACAACAAACTAGCTGGGGGTGATGACTTTCAGCTCCACAATAAGGCTTTTTCCCCCCTAGTAGTTGAATTTATTGTGCAGCTTTCCTTGCAAAGGCACAGGAAGTCTTCAGAGGAAGGGTGTGACCCACTGAGAGATTCCTTCCAGCATGCACTTTTCCAAAAGAACAAAGCAGTGAGGGAAGGTAGAGTAATTGAAGGATGTGTAACAAATTGGATGGAAGAACGGGGCATATGGATGGCTATGTGAGGGGAGGGTGATGGCTAGCACCTGGGCTAAAAGTGAATGGTGACAACAAACTAGCTGGGGGTGATGACTTTCAGCTCCACAATAAGAACATAAGAAGAGCCCTGCTTGATCAGACCAGTGGTCCACCTTGTCCAGCATCCTGTCTCACACCACAACCAACCAGTTCCTCTGGAGGTCCATCAACAGGGCATAGAGGCCAAGGCCCTCCCGTGATGCTGCCTGCTGGTTCTGGTATTTAGAAGTTTACTGCCTCTGAATGTGGAGGTTCCCTTTAGTAAATGTGGCTAGTAGCTGCTGATAGACCTATCTCCCATGAATCGGTCTAATCCCTTTTTAAACCAATCTGGGCCTGTGGCTATCATTACATTTTTATGGGACCCAGCTGCCTACTTGCCTCCATTGTTAGAACTGTCCATTTGTTCCTATTCTTTGCTTCCTGTCATTTAAACAGTTTTTAGTCTGTAAGAGAACCTGCCTTCTTATCCCGTGACTGTTAGGTTTACTCAGGAGTCTCTGGTGAGGTGCCTTCTCAAAGGCCTTTTGAAAGTCCAAGTATATAATGTCCACCAGGCCCCTGTTATCTTCACGCTTGTTCACTTTTTCAAAGAACTCCAAAAGTTTGGTGAGGCAGGACTTCCTTTTGAAGAAGCCATATTGATTTCCCTTCAGTAGGCTTTGTTTCTCTCTGTGCCTAAGAATTCTATCTTTGATTACAGTTTGTACTAATTTGCTTGGGACAGATGTTAGGCTAACTGATCTGTAATTTCCTGGTTCCCTTCTGGGAACCCTTTTAAAAAGTTGGTCTAATATTTGCTACTCATCAGTCTTCTGGTATGGTGGCTGAATTCAGTGATAAGTTACCTACATAGGTTAGCAAATCAACTGTTTGACATTTGAGTTCTCGAAGAACTCTTGGGTTTATGCCATTAGGCCCACAAAAAAGGGGAAGATAAACTAAACCAACCAAGCAAGAGCCAAAACTTCCAAAGAAAGTTTAGAAAAGGGGCCAGAAGTTAAAAAATCAATATATAGACAAAAGTACACATGTTTATTTCAAAAACAGTTAAAACCGTTGTAGGGGCCCAAGTAAAGCCTCATAATGTAATCAAAGTGACAGATGCACAAAAGGAACCATATATTACCTGACACATTTCGGCACAAAAGAACCTCTTTTTGAGGTCAAGCAGTACAGAATGCAACATACAACAAAGCCCCTATTAATCTTGTAAGGCAGTAAACAATTGATATAAGGCCCAAACAGGAATGTTCCGGTCTGGAATTGAATGACACAAAAAGATACGTGAGGCCACAATGGTATCTGGCTTTGTGTCATACTGATACATATTGATGTTACATTGGTCCTGATAAGGTGATTGTACTTGTAATCTGAGGACCTAAACCTGAATGTACATATTGCCAATATTACTTTCTTCAATATATGTAACAGTGGCAGTTACATATATATGCGATTTGGACCTGGAGACTTACTGGTTTTTAATTCCCCAGTAGGTCTAGAACTTGATCTCTCGTCACCTCAGTTTGACTCAGCTCTTCAGACTCCCTTCCCAATGCAATTTTTACCCCCCCTCCCCCCGCCCGCAATATTCAAAGACCTGACATAGATAAAACTACCCATTCTTGCATCTCTGCAAAGACCTAAGGCACCTTTTTGGAAACGTGTGCTTTTATCGAGGCTGCTTTATGCTTTTTGCCACTTCTTTGATGGAAATGCTATTGTATTGTTTCAGGGACCCAGGGAAGGATTTCGTGGGTATGTCTCATCAGCATGGCCCTAGTTTGAAAATCATTTTCTGCTTCCTTCTTACAGATGCGCACAACCCGTAAAGTGTCTGTTTGGCCTGTGGGGCTGGTGGGCGGACGACGCTATGAACGCCCCATTGTGGAAAAGGGAAAGGTTGTTGGCTGGTACACCGGCTGGCGGGCAGATAGGCCGTTTGCCATTGATATGGCAGGTGAGTAGCTACGTAATCTCAAATGGATTATGTGAAGGAGCATTTTAGATATGTGACTTGTTCTCAGTAGTGAACAAATGAATTCTGGATGTTTGTATGCCTACATAATTACACTTTTTTCTTCTTCTCTGGGGCATGAAAAATTGTTACCAAATTGACCAGGATTGTTGCTGAAATCGTGAAAGTCTTTTCTCAAAATTACAGCTTTCTGGCTCTTAGTTTCAAGGCAGACATTTGAAAATATGACTGGATTGGTGCTCCAGGAACCTAGTTTTGTTTTTGGAAAGTAATCTTTCTGTGGCCACCAGTGCTTCCTCTCATAGGAACCCTGTGCATTATGGGGAAGGTTTGAATGAAGAAGGATCTGGAGTACTGAATCCAGCATAATGAATTTATAGTTGCCAGGAGCTGAATGAATGCATATGAATCTTTTCTAGTCCCAGGACCACTTCTGTGAGTCAAGCCCTGAGCTCGGAACCCAGTGGAAATATATTATGGACATTGTTTATTGCCGTAAAAAAGAGCAAGCGTCCAGGAACACCTTAAAGACTAACACAATTTGTGGCAGGGTTATGAGCCTTCGTGAGTCACTGCTGAAGTTCTAAAGAAGTGAACCGTGACTCACATGAAAGCTCATAACCCTGCCAGGAATTGTGTTAGTCTTTAAGGTGCTCCTGGACTCTTGCTCTTTTCTACTGCCACAGACAGCCTAACAAGGCTAGGTGCATTGAAATTACCTTTTGATCCCTTTTGCTATATTCTCTATGCTGTACTGAATGAGTCAGGTTGCTGTTGTGGTTGTGTTATATGGCCTTCACTATCATATGGAGGAGCTCATTGGATGGAAATGGAAAAGTCTAGGGCAGTGGTTCTCAACCTTCCTAATGCCGTGACCCTTTAATACAGTTCCTCATGTGGTGGTGACCCCCAACCATAAAATTATTTTCGTTGCTATCGTAAGACCATCGAAAATTTGTTTTTTCCGATGGTCTTAGGCGACCCCTGTGAAACGGTCATTCGACCCCCAGGTTGAGAACCACTGGTCTAGGGAATGCAAACTGAGATAATCCAGTTGCATTTCCCTAACTCAATTTCTAGGCAATGTGCAAAGCACCTCTGCTTCTCACTAGCCTTGAAAGCCCCTTGCTGGGGTCTCAATATATTGGTTGTGGCTTGACAGCACTTACCTACATAACTCCACTTCTGCCTAATGAACGCTTGAGCTCCTCCATGTAGTAGTGAGGCCCACATGGTGCATGTATTCCTCCTGATCTGTAAAATGTTTCCCATTGCCATGGGTACCCCAAGCTTGTTTCAGTTGCACAGTCACCCTCAGTGCAGCAGATGGTGAGGGAAACTTCTTTCAGACACACAATGCTGGTGGGTTAAGATGGTGCTATTTATCTTGACAGGGACATGAGTGTTGCTTTCTTTGGATCCAACACTGAATCTTGCATTCCCTTTTGAACCTCTGTTATCCAAGGAGCCAAAGAAGCAAGGCAGGGTGCAGATAGCCGGGACTTTTTGTCTCCCCCTAGTTTATAGCAATGCAGAGGTCTGCTTCCTCGATTACAGAAATGCCATCTCTAGAGTTATTGTGTCACAGACAGAGCCACCCTCCGTTAGTCTGTTTTTAAAAATTATTGTTGAATGACTGTGAGACAGCATGTGGTGGCGAATGCAAATGGTGGTGAAAAAGCTGGACATTTTATGGCATGCAGTTTGACATTTGAGAAGTGTGGGGTGGCAGACTTGGGTATATTAACAGCTTCTTATGTTCATGGCTGCCCTTGAAATGTATGCAATAGTGGGCACTAAGTGTTGGAAATCATGTTGAAAGCAGAACTTCTTGCATGAGCATGTGTCTTCAGTTTTAATTATCTTATTTTGCCGTCTGTCTGTTATTTATTTACTTTTTAATAATAGCAAAAGACAATTATTTTGCATTTTATGTGGCATTTCTGTTGGAATGCTTGAGTGAGTTTCTTCTCTGCACCTTAGTTAATTACTGCAGACAGCCAGTATCTTTCTTTGCATGAACACTGTATGGTGTAGTAGAAAACAAGCCCCAATGGGTAGTTCAAGTGCAAAAAGAATATCACTTCATCATGAAATGATTCATTTTCAGTTGGTTTAGGTGAAATGATGACAGTGATAGCTTGTAGGGTAGATACAGTTTGCAGCACATGTTTTAGGGAGAAAACTGCTACAACTATAGGCTATAAGATGAAGGCAGAAAAACTCTGCAAATTAATCTCATCAATCTTCAGCTCTACAGTTAATGGCTGCATAGCTCAGTCTAGGTGTCAGCGTATAAGTTCGGCCAGCCTTGTGTATACTGTGTGCATCTCAAATGCTGGCTGAATTGCTTTGGGTACTCTGGCAGCCATATTCCCGCTCGGCCATAAGCTTCCATATCTCAGAGAAGGTGAGTGTGTGTTAAAAAAGAAAGAGGGGATGTAAACAGGTCGAGTAAACACATCACACGATCTGGTTTTCTCCTTTCTGTTAGTGGATAGTATTTTCTTCTACTCAGAAAAATTGTATACAATTACATGTACACAGTTGATGAAATACTTTTGCTTATCTGAAACTTTACATAAGATGTTAACATATTAAAATGGTGACTAGAAAACTGAAAGTACACATCTCCTCAGCACTGGAAAACAGTTTATCAATAACAGGTACAACTAGTGCATTGTGAGTTGACAAATGGGAGTGAAAAATACCAAGCCAATCATTCCCTGTGCAGGAGATAAGAAGGCATGGGCTCCTCCTATCCTCTGCAGATTTCCACCTGTCAAGCAACACCAGCAGTCATTCCCAATGTATTAACTCCTCTTGGCTTCAAAGTCTGTTTGGTTTCCTTGATGTGCTGAATTAATTTTGTGAATGATTCAGTTGGAGTTTTAAGTCTTAGTTCAGCTCACTGCTGACAACAAAATGATGACCCATTCAACACAATCATGGAATATATCTTGTAAACAAAGTTGTATAAACTTACTTTGAGGTATACAAATGAATATGAAACATAAATAACCTTAAATCACTGAGTTTATTCCAGTCAGTTTTTTCACTCAGTCTCATCTAGTTCTCCTTATTACAGCTCCAATCCCAACATGGCTTTTGTATGTGCTGATTCTCTGAACCCTGGTGTAGCCTGTATTTGGTGGTCAGAGGGTACTTCCTCGGTTTTTTGTCAGCAGAAAAGCTGGTTGGATCCAACCCCATTATGTATGATAATCTTGTACAAAGATTACATGTACATGTTGGGAAGCTGTGATTGGTTCCTGTTATTTGTATGCCAAATGTACATACAGCAAATCGTCTCCACTGTAAGATGGTTGTGCATCAACATCTACATTCAGATTTCCTATTAATTCCTATACAGAAGTATCTTCTACTTCTTCTAATGGAGGACATTATTAGTATTTGAAGCACCCTCATTGGGCCAAAGTTTGAGGAGCCTTGCTTTCAAGTCTACTAATGTTTCATGATACATGAGGTTTTTGGGTTTTAGTCTTCACAGTGTCCTTTGGGGAAGACTCTGCACAGTATACGTTTATATGTAGAGTGTATGGACAGCTGTGAGATATGCAGTCTCCAACCAGGTTATGGGAAGTGTCACAGTGATGTGCAGTATTGTTGGGGGCAAAGTACACTAGCAGTACAGCTAGAAGATTAATCTCAGCACACAATTTCATAGTTGCTTATCTGTTATGCTGTGGATGTGGCACTTCAGGAACATTCAGAGGACAGAAAGGAATGTCTCTTAATTCATTGGCCACAGTCCAAACCAGCTGAACACCACAAGACAAAAGTCTTGCTTCCATAGCTGCTGATACATACCTTCATCTTAAATGGATATGAATATAACTTGCTTCAGGCCTCCAGTGTTGTCACATACCCTACCACTAACGATCACCGTTAAGTTCCTAGCTACTGTGTTTAAAAGCCTTAAGCTGACGCATCCAAACAGCAGCATTCTAGTTTATATTGCTGTAAATCTGTGCTCAAGAATCTCCCATAAGCCCTGGGGTTTTGTTATTACACAGCCCTTGTGTGTGGGTAGGACATACCTCTTTGTTCCCATCCTATTGTTGCCTTTGTCCACCCTCTAATTCAAAAGCCCATTTTTGCCTGGCTCATAGCTTTTTATTTCCTGTTTACATATTATTCTGATACAACAATCTGCCTAAAATAGAGACCTTGAGAACGTTTTTATTCTAACGTACTGGCCAACTGAGGACAATGAAGTGTTACCTGTGTTGTGAAGACTAACCCCATTAACTCAATGCCTGTGGATGGGTAGAAAAGGGCACACTGGTATGTAAGCTTTTCCTGCTGCTTTGTTTGTTTGTTTTTAGCATGAAATTTAATGCTTAGCAATTCCTTGAAAAGCCAAAGACTTGTGCCTCCTCCATGTGTCTGGTGGAACAGATTGGGCAACAGCCATTGTTGGGTCTCCCGTTGTTTCTGGCTTGCACATAAGCGGCATGGGCTAGGAACAAAAATGCAAGATGGTTGACTGGGGAAGGGCAAGTAGAGGTGTTCATTGAGGACATTCCATTAAAGAATGTTACTGGCAGAAGACCCGTGCACCACGACCAGTAGAACCAAGAGAACAGACAGTCCGTAATTACTGTCATTTTTATTTTGAAGCAATGAGATGTCTCAATAAGTGGACACATTCTGGGGCCTACCTGCTATTGTATATTACTTGGTTTTTATGCTAGGTAAAATTGGATGTGGTTCCCAGTGCTTTGTTACTTTGTTCTATAAAATTGGAATTTGTTCTCAGTGGGATTTTTGCCTTTTTAAAATCAAATCTTAGTTGTCTCTAGGGGAACTATAGAATTACAGGCTTGATCTTTCTCCCTTCCAGGGAGTCAACATTTCAGACTTCCATAGCAGCACTACTAAATGTGCACTCTTGGAACTAAGGCCTGCTGGTTTCAAGTACCTGATATTTAAAACAAGGATGCTGGTGGGTCGCATGT